GCGGCGGCATCGTGTCCCGCCCCGCGCGGCCGCAGAGACGGAGTGCCCTTGGGAAGCGGCACCCCCTGGGTGGGATCCGTGCCAAATAACCCTTCCCCGAATAGAGGATAAATAAATAAATTGCCATAAAACAGCCATTCCCACCCCCCGGGACGGCTGTGCCCATCCTCGCTCCATCCCCAGGGAAGTTCCCCCACCCCTGGGATGGATCGGTGGGAACTTGCTGGAGGAAGAGCTCGGGGCCAGCCTGGAGACTTCGCTAATGAGCGAAAATTAATCTGGGCAATTAAGCCCCCAGCAGTTGAACAGTTAAGGGAAAAAAACACCCAAACCCAAACCAATGAAATTATTTCTACCAACAGATCCTGGACAACCTGGATGTTCGTAGTTTTCCTCTTGGAATCTTTTGGGTGATACCTGAATGCTTCTGTCCACATTTCTGTCCACATTTCCCCAAACCTGCCCTAAGTCACCCAAGAACATAATTTAAATCTGCTGGATGAAGACTACCATTATTTTTTTTTACAGCAAACTTAATCAATGTAACATCAAATACTCCACTTAAAATCCCTAGGTGTGTGCCACCAACGTCTGCACCAGTATAAACCCAGAATGCAAATAAGCCTTTTGATTTTGGGGTCACTTCTGACCTGTAGGACCAACAGCAAAGCTCCTTTTTGGGGTTTAGGAAATGTGCAGCTTGCCTGGTTAAAAAATATAAAAACTCATAGGAAACCTGTGAGGGCCTTGCTGCCTCTGCCACTGCTCAGCTCTCACACCTGCACCACGGTTTGCACTGAAGCCACCCCACTGTGGGCAGGAAAATGCCTTTGTTTCACAGGGAAAAGGCACAAAAGGGCTACAGAGAAATAAATTCGGCTTCAGACATGGAAGTAGAAACTGGGATTTCGTGGATCTCATGGAATCATGGAGTGGTTTGGGTTGGAAGGGACCTTAAATCCCATTTGGTTCCACCCCTCACCATGGGCAGGGACACTTTCCACCATCCCAGGTTGCTCCAAGTCCCATCCAGCCCGGCCTTGGACACTTCCAGGGATGGATCTCCAGCCCTGGCAGGATCCCTGCCCCTCCTGAGGCTGCTCCAGAGACGTTCCAACACTTGTTTAAAGTCCACATGGATCACCCTGCCCTTCATGACCCCAGCATTCACCTCCCTAAACGCAGCTGATGCTTTTCCTTCCAACACTGTCTTTCCAAGCTGTCACCCAAATTACAATACATCCCAAATATGCAATTACCAACATTTAAATATATATAAATCTTAAACATAGCACTGCCAGAGCTAAGAATAGGTCATTATTCCAACAAGCAACGTCTCACCGCTCATCCAACGCTCTATAATCATGGAGTGTGCAATATGGCAGGAAGAACAATGGGGCTTTCATGGGATCTGGAGCAGCTGAGCATCTCCACGGGCACAGGTATGCAGGATTCCACCCGGAATGCCATCCATCCCAGCTCCTGCAACAACAGCACATTGTTCCTGCCCCTACGTGGGCAGCAAACACAGAGCCCTCGATTGTGCCCGTCACAATGCACGTATAATTTATAGTAATGTTGGTTATTAAAGGATTTCTAGTGATTAGCAGCAATGTGCTCTTTCACTGCCTTTTATTTTATTTTTTTACCCCCCTCCCCCTTTTTTTTTTTTTTTTTTTTTTTTTTTGCCTGTCATAATAACAAACATTCCTGGGAGATGCTCTGGAACACATCCTATAGGTCTTGGCAGAGAAGCTTTTGAAATCCTGCCAGTGTTATCTGCCATGGATCTCCCAGGTACGACAGAAAGCCAAACCCTCCTGGGTCCAAGAGGACCGTGGGTGGCCAGGAGGGCACCAACCTCTTCCCAAAGCCAAACTGCAGCTGGGATGGGGAAAAAAGGGGCACAAGGACCAGCCCTGTCATTGCCAGCACCCTCAAAGGCATCAGTAGAACCCAAACCCCAACTGTGGCACTCGGCAAGGAAAATGAATATCATCATTTGCTGCTTTTTTTATTTTTAATCTTTAGTATTTGAAACATTCCTGGTCAAAAAGAAGAATGCAGGGGTTAAAACACAAAATGAATAATTGGCACTTAAATAATGTTGTAGGTTATTTTAATGCCCTGAAAATGGGGGCAGATGGGGACCCCCAAAGGGTGGGGAGGGCTGGGGGACACATT